GGGATGACGGGGGGACCCTTTTCAAAAAAAAAAAAAAAAAAAAAAAAAAAAAAAAAGTCCTTCTCTGCGGGTACTTGGATGAGGACACTGTCTCAGTGTTTCTTATATTCTATGGAAACATTTGCCCACCTGTGTAAGGCAGAATGCCTCCACTCCAACACCACCAAAGACGTCACCATCTAATCTCTGGACTTTATGAATTTGTTAGATTATGTGGCAAAGGAAAACAAGGTTCCAGATGGAGTTGAGGTTGTCAGGTTGACATAAAGGGATTATCTGGGATTATCTGGGTGGGTCCAATATCACCTCAGCATTTTAAACTGAGCTTTGGAGGCAGGAAAGGAAGCCAGTGTGAGAACCTGTTGTGTGGGCCCTGTGCTACACACTGGAAATGGGCAGGAAGTAGATTCTCCCCTGGAAACTCCAAAACAGGACATGGTCCTGTAGACCCCTTGATTTTAACCCAGAAAGACCCATTTTGGACTTTTGATCTGAAAGAATCATGTTCTTTTTTCTATTTAGAGAGTGTCTTGCAGAGAGTGTCTCACTGCAGCCCTAGCTGATCTGAAACTCCCTATGTAGACCAGGCTGGCCTTGAATTTATAAAGATTTGCCTGCCTCTGCCTCCCAAGAAATGGGACTACAGGTGTGCATCAACCATGCCTGTCTGGATAGATGGCTGATTGGCTAAGAGCACTTGCTGCTCTTACAAAGAACCAGAATTCAGTTACCAGTACCCACGTTGAGTGGCTTATGACCTCCTGTAACTCAAGCTCCAAAGGATCCAACACCCTCTTCTGGCCTCTTTGGGCATTGCACCCATATGTATATACACACACAAAATTAAAAATAAATCTTTAGAAAAATAAAGAAAAAAAAATCAAAGCTAACAGGCCAGGCATGGCAGCACATGTGTGTAAGCCTAGCACCTGGGAGGCTGAGACAAGAGGCTTCAAAGATTGAGGCTGCCCGGGCTTCATAGTGAGATCCTGTCTCAAATTTCTCTCTCTCTCTCTCTCTCTGTCTCTCTCTCTCTCTCTCTCTCTCTCCCTCTCTCTCTCTCTCATCTCAAATCTCCCTCTTGACTCAAATCTCTCTCTCTCTCTCTCTCTCTCTCTCTCTCTCTCACACACACACACACACACAATGAAACAAAACAAGACAAAAACAAAATCTATATTAAATGCTGGGAGTCGTCAACTTTGTGGTACTTTGTTATACAAGCAATGGGAGATCGATACATCATAAGGATGGCAATTGATCCTGTTTCCTCAGACAAGGAGTTTCTTGTAGGAGCAGCTCCTTGGATCTGGGAACTTCTGCAGGCCAGGACCTCCTGCCTGCTCTGGTCAAGCTGAAGGAGCTATGGGGGAATGCCTCAGTGCCCTGAAGGAGAGGATTACTGAGTGATGCTTTTACCAAATGAGAGGGTGAAGACACTGGGCCCCAAGGGTGATGGGCCCATGGATTTGGTGTAAGGACGGGATAGGGCAGGGCTGGCTACTGAGGGTGACCTGTGGACCAGGACACTTGGGTGAAGAAGAGACAGAGGACACAAGGAAAGGAGCTGGGCAGGGAAACACCCAGTTCCTCTGGGACATTCAAGTGCCACCTGTTGCCACAGACCGAATCAAGAATGAGGGTGGAAATGGGCAGATCTATTGTCTCCACAACCACTGGCCCAGCCTGTTTCTTCTGTCCCCCGCCCCACCAACAGGATAAAGCCACTGTCTTGGGGCCCAGGGAGATGCTGAGGCTGAGCAGGATGCAGGGCTGCACCACACTGAGCCGGCCTCCCCTGGGCCTGATCCTGGTCTGTCTGTGTCTCCCAGGTACGAAGGGCACTGGGGTCCCCAGGGGCTGGAATTAATGGACAGCGTAAAGGCAGGGGGGTACACTAATGGGAGGATGTGCACCGGGTCCTCACGGGGGGTGGGAGTGAGAAGTGGAAGTGGGGATGGAAAGGGAGGGGCGACAAAGGGAACCAGGGAGTCAGAGAAGAGAGTTGGCACCAAGCATCGGATACACTGGCTGCTTTGTTTTCTTTTGCTTCAGGCCTCTTTGCCCGGAGCGTTGGTACAGCAGAGGAGAAAGTTTCCCCACGCTTGGGGACCAACTTAGCCCTCCTGGGACAACCTTCCCTCACAAGCATCTCCCACTCTGGACAGCCTCAGTCCAAGCCAGATCCAGTGTCTAATGACATAGTGGGGGCTTTTCCAAGGCTCAATGTGTCCCCACCGGATGGCCCCCTACCTGTGGCAGGCCTTGAGGAGCAGAGCTGGCCTCCATCCCGGGGACCGCCCACCATGGAGTCCTGGCTCTCTGAGGACCCTTGGCAGGTGATGGCTGCTGAGGACCAGTTGGAGCAAGTGCCTCCCGAAGGCCTGTCTTACCTTTCCAGTGGTCACCCTGCTGGGCAGCCCTCACCTGAGGCTTCCCACCCCCACGACTCAGAGCCTAGACGGCTACCTGTTTCCAGTCCACTGGGAGCCCAGGGAGACATCTTTGCCCAGCGTCCATTCTGGTCTCTCATCCATAGGCTTCTGCCTGGTCTCCCCTGGGGGGTCTTAAGTCCCAGTGTATCTTGGGGAGGTGGTGCTGGAACTGGATGGGGAACAAGGCCCATGCCATATCCTTCAGGAATCTGGGGTAGCAATAGTCAAGTCCCAGGTACTAGCTGGGTGGGTAATGGCCAGTACCCAGCAGGCAGCTGGGGAGGGAATGGCCGGTACCCAGCAGGCAGCTGGGGGGGGAATGGCCGGTACCCAGCAGGCAGCTGGGGGGGGAATGGCCGGTACCCAGCAGGTAGCTGGGGGGGGAATGGCCGGTACCCAGCAGGTAGCTGGGGGGG